TCCAGCATCCTGTGTCCAGGTGCACCTGTAGGAACTGGATTAACGATACATCAAAGAAGCCCACCTCTATTAGGAGGAACTGGGAGTCATGGCAGGGAGGCCAGTGACCTGTGGCTTTTCCAGCCTGGATGGTGAAGAGTAAGTAGATCAGGGTTTCTCAGCCTGGACGCTATTGACATTTTGGGCTGCATAATCCTTTGTTGTGGGGGCTGTCTTGTGCATTATAGGGGGTTTAGCAGCATCCCTGGCCTCTAGCTATTGGATAATGGAAGCACCCCCCCATCAGCACCAGTCATGACAATCAGAAATGTCCCCAGACATTGCCACATGTTCCCTGAGAGTGGAGTGGGGGTGATATCTTCTCTAGTTGAAAACCACTGGAGTAAAAGATCAGCAAAACGGTGTGATTGTATGGCAACTTGGGACTAGAATCCAAATATTACCTCATGATTCAGCCAAATAAGGAGGCTCTTATTAAGATATGACTTCAGGCAAGGGATGGGTGGTAGCTCAGGAAGGACACCAGGACGGGCACTTGTGGGGGAAACAGCAAGACATAGTCTCTGCTTTTTCTTGGTGAGCTGCACTTCCAGTTTCCCCTAAATTCTGTGAGTTCTGAGGCGGGGCTGGAGTGAAAGTGAAAGTCTCCGGGGAGGGGTGGCGCAGAGGACACTCTCCACTGTCCTTCCATCGCAGAGAGCTGCGGGGCCCCCGTTCTTGGTGAGCTGCACTTCCAGTTTCCCCTAAATTCTGTGAGTTCTGAGGCGGGGCTGGAGCGAAAGTGAAAGTCTCCGGGGAGGGGTGGCGCAGAGGACACTCTCCACTGTCCTTCCATCGCAGAGAGCTGCGGGGTCCCCACCGTGTGGCAGCACTGTCCCACAGACCACCACCAGGAGCCTGGCAGATCTGGGGCAGTGATGGAGAGCAGGGCACAGGCCATCCTGCAAATGACCTGTGGATCCTGCTGGAACAGGGGTTGGACGAAAAGGGAAATACAGAGCAAACAGCCCTGACCTGAGGAGGAGCCCAGTACCCGTTTCTTCCCTTGATGTTTTATCATCTTCGACGTAACCCAGCAGTTAGAACCACGCGAGCCTTCCACTGTGTTCCCGCACTGTGACTCAGACATCTTCCTCTCTATCGTCTTTGTCTTCCTAACCAACTGTCATCGCTGGGGGTGGGTTCCGGGACACAGCATCCTTTCTTGCACGTTCCCCAGGGGTCTGGCATATTCGGTGCCTTGTATGTAAGCCCTCTGTTGAGAGGGCATCTGCCAGCCTGGGAAAGGCCCCTGTGCCCTGTGGGTGAGGAGTGTTTAGTTGGAAGATTACTGGGTGAATTCCAGGACCACCCACACTGTATCCAGTTGCAAGACATCTTATTTACTTCTCAGTCTTAGGAGGATCCAAAATAGGGGAGAACAGGGCCTAGTGGGTATATGATTCTGAGATACATAATGAAAGTGGCTGTAAAGGTGTGGTTGTTTCCAACATTTTTCCCCCCCACCCCCGAAATTTAATATTTAAAAAACTTCAACTAATTCAGAAGCAAAAATTCCTGTATTGTAGTTGCCAAGTAGTAAACAATGCCAATAATTGGGTGGAGGGGTTTCCATTTGATACCAGCCTAATCATTACTTGTCTGACATGGGGTTTAGTTTTGCCCTTTAGAAAGTCAGAGTAAAGGGTATGAAAACATTTGTTACTTAAGACTTTCATAACTAGACCAATTTATAAAACTGTAAGGCTTTATTCAATGGAGTCTATTATTCTTGTTAAAAGAAGTTAGATTTGAAAGTATAGTTTTTGATAGATAGATTAATAGATTGGTACATAGATACATGGAGTTAATATATAAAATATATAAATATATAACTAAAATATATAAATATATAACTAAAATATATAAATACATAACTATATATTTAGGTATAAATGTATAACTAATATTATAAAATATATAAATACATAACTGAAAATATAAAGTCAAAAGGATTATTACAAATGATTTTTAAAAATGAGCAAAGATGAATAGGCGTTTTATAGAATAGAAAGAATACTTGGCCTATAAACATATGAAAATACATGTAATCTCGATAATCAGGGAATGCAAATTAAAAGCACAATGATGTACTTGTTCTCACCTATCAAAGTGGCTAAAATGGAAAAGTCTTACAATACCAAGTGTTGTCAAGGATGGAAAACCACTTGGCATTGCTGAGTGAAGCTGATGATGTACAAATCTTGGCAAGCAGCAGTTTCACTCCTGAGACCATCCCCTGCAGAAGCTTTGCATGTGAACCAGAATATGTGTGCAGAATTTTCATAGCAGTATTGTTTGTAATAACGGGAGACAGGAAACAACCCAATGACCATCAATAATAGAAAGGAAAAATAAACTGTAGCATCTTTATAAAATGAAACACAGAGCAAAGAGTAATTAATTATGGTTTCACACTTAAATGAGATTGAATATCAAAAACTTAATATTGGGCAAAAAAAGGAAGTCACAGAAG